CCGGTGTGCAGCAGCTGGTGTTGCTTCAGCTGCGATGACAGCAGGAAACCCTTTTGACAGACACTGCAGACATGCGGCCAGTCGCCGCTGTGCTGCCGCAGGTGGTATAGGTACAGGTGTCGCAGGTGGAAGGACTTCCCGCAGGTGTCACAAGTGAACTCTTTGCTGTCAGCGTGGCTCCTCTCATGTGTCCTCAGTGTGGTGCTGCTACTGAAGCTCTTCAGACATATTTTACAGCTGAATGGTTTGACTCCGCTCGACCTCCGTCTCCTCGTCACTCCGACCTTTCCTCCATCCTTCCCCCCGTCTTTACTGATATGGACCAGTTGCTGGTGTTTCTGGAGCTGACAGTTATAGAAAAATGTCTTCCCACACAGATCACACATGAACGGCTTCTCCACACCATGAACTAGCATGTGGGTCTTCAAAGCCCAGGTCCCTGTGAATCCTTCCCCACATTTATCACACCTGAGACACAGAGAAGGAGAAGATACAGGAGAGGTTGAAGGTAGAATAAAAAACATTTATCTGTGATGTTTGTTTTACTCTCTTTATTTCCTCATTTACTTCCTGTTTTGTTGTATATGTTTCGTGTGTGTACATACCTGAAGGGCTTCTCTCCACTGTGAAGCCGTAGGTGTCTCTGGAAGTTATACTTCAGTCCAAAGCTCAGTCCACAGGTCTGGCACATAAAGGGTTTCTCTCCGGAGTGCACCACGCGGTGCTGCAGCAGACCCATCTTACACTTGAAGGCCTTGTCGCATTCGCTGCATTTGAACGGCCGCTCCTCTGAGTGCGACCTTTTGTGGACACGCAGATTGCTAGTGGTGGAGAAGCTCTTGCCACAGGTCTGGCAGGAGTAGGGCCGGGCACCGGTGTGGACCGTCTGGTGCTCTCGAAGGCTCTTCTTCCTGGTGAAACTCTTCCCACAAACATCACACATGAAGGGCTTGACCTGGGCATGTGACACCTCGTGGTAGCGGAGCGCACTGGAGGTGGTGAAGGTGCGGTCACAGGCGTGGCACTTCAGTGGTGATTTCTCCAGTCGGTGAGACGCCTGGTGGACTCGGAGCTGCCGCAACAGTCTGAACTTCCTGTCGCATTGGTCACACCGTAGCAGTTTGTCTGGGTCGTTCTCTTGAGCCTCCCTCAGCCGGTGGATTAGCTGGTGTTTCTGCAGAGTCTTTGCCTTGTAGAAACCTTTATCACAGAAGCTGCAGGGGAAAGGTTTGAGGTGACAGGACACATGTTTCCTCAGCTGGTGTTTCTGATGAAAACCTTTGTTACAGAAATCGCAGAAAAACCTCTTCTCTTTGTACAGCTCCCTCCTCCTCCTCCTCTCCACCTGCTTCTGCTCCTCACTCAGACCTGCAGAGAAACACAGTTAAACACAGGACATCAGAGAAACAGCGAGATGCTTTGGGAAACTGTCCCATCTCTGATAAGATTACAAACATTAATACAGACTAAAGATTCTGAGTGCCAGAGGACTGAAATTAAACATGATCCTAAACAGTGTATAGTATGTAAACAAATATATGCTGTGCATCACTATAAACATGGACTGTTTATGGACCACTCACTGTTTCTTCTATTGTTGTTTTAAAAACCAAAATAAACAAACTCTCTCTCCACCTTTCAGAACCCATCTCATTTGTTTCTTTGCTCTGTGCTATATCCAGACAGAAATTGATTGTTTTTGTCAAATACGGTACATTTTTACAGATTTTCTTTTTTCTGACATAACCCCTAACCCCCTGCATTTCAAAGTTTTAAGTTTGCATTAAAGACTGACTAATAGATCATCAACATGTCTCCTTGACCCCATCCCGACCAGGCTGTTAATCTAATCAACACGTCCATACTAGATCTGATTAACCTCTCTCTATTAACAGGCTATGTTCCGCGGGCTTTTAAACTTGCAGTAATTAAACCTCTACTCAAAAAGCCTACTCTTGACCCAGGTGTCCTAGCTAATTATAGACCAATATCCAATCTCCCGTTTATTTCTAAAATTCTGGAAAAAGCTGTTGCAAAGCAGTTATGTGACCACTTGCACAGGAATGATTTGTTTGAGGATTTTCAGTCAGGATTTAGAGTCCATCATAGTACAGAAACCGCACTGGTGAAAGTCACCAACGATCTTCTCCTAGCCTCGGACAAAGGACTCGTCTTCATACTTGTCCTCTTAGATCTCAGTGCTGCTTTTGACACCATTGATTTTATACATGCTCCCTTTAGGCAATATTATCAGGAGAAACACAGAATGAATCAGATCAGTTGGTCAAACCTAAAACGTGTTAAAGACAAAGGCCTGGATGACTTGTAATCTCTTACTTCTAAACTCCAACAAAACCAAAGTTATTGTATTTGGGCCTGAAAACATCTCTTTTCATCACTACATATACCATTGTTTTCCTGTTTATGGAGGAGAAATTCAAATCAATTAATGCCGTTGCAGTTCGTTGTGCTGTCCACTTTCATATTCAGATTTATAGGATTTGAGGTATTGTCATTGTTGAAAGAATGGTAAAGAGTTGAAGTGTTGAAGAGTGGTAAAGTAAGTCCTGGTGATCCGCATCGGTTTCCTGCAGGAATGTAATAAACTGATGGTACTGAGGTCCTCCTGGCTCATATAGAGTTAGGTTTTACGACTGTATTCACACTGGACTTACACAGAGATTCATGATGAACGATGCAGTGATCTACCATCTACTGGGGGAAATGCGGGCATTGCAGGGAAAAGGCAAAGCGAATGAGGTTTAATGATAACGTAACTTAATAATATATTTTGGACAAGTTCGGCGGGCTGGATTAAAAAGCCTAACGGGCCGTAGTTTGCCCGTGCCTAGTCTAGAGAGTAATTTTGGTTATTTTTATGTGCAACCTTGGACTGTTCATCATTCCAATTACACACTAATACGAAACGAAAATACTTTTTCCATTCCAGCTGGGGCTCATATGTTGCTTCCTGGACAAACCAGGATTTAACATATAAATGATTAATTATAGCATTGTAAGGTCCAGACCTTACTATGTTAAGTGCCTTGAGATGTTTTGATTTAGCACTATACAAACAGAATAGAACTGAATTGAAATTCAATTAACGGTGTTTGATAAAATCAGACTTTAGTTTTACAAAAATGTTTTAGAAGCAGATTGGCTCTGGGCTTCTTCCACATTTCTTTGTGACCTGTTCAGTTAACCTCCTTTTATTTGATATTCTCAAATATTTGGTTTCCACCAACAGTCAGACAAGTGGAAACTAAAACATCTGAATCACACAATTTTCTACTTAATAAAACGTAAAGCCCTCTCAGACTGCTAACTGTCTCACCTGGTTGGTTCTCAGTGAATGTCAGGTCTTCAGATGTCTCTTCAACAGATTCCACCTTCATCTGTGGTTCCTGACAAACAGAGAACAGCAGTAATTCTCCTGTTACAGATTGTAGAGTAAAAATAATCAGTCCTGTTTGTGACACATTAGAAACCTGCTTGGAAAATGCTCAATATGCCATATTATCCAATAGAGAACTGCATTATTAATCATGTTTAGTATCAACAACTAAATGACTGTAATCAGTGGCAATTAATTGTGCTCAGCATGAATTTTTTATAGTTTTTTTTACCTGCTGATTCCAACAGCCATGAAAGGTTCAAATGATAATCAGCACACTCAGACGAAACCCAGAGATTATCCTTTAGTGATTAATTTTATTTGTATAGCACCAAATCAAAACAAGCAACAGCTCAGGACACTTTACATAGTAAGGTCTAGAACTAACTATTGTTTTTATTATTATTATTATTATTATTATTGAGGAAACCCAACAAATCCCCCTTGAGCAGCACTTGGCAACAGTGGGGAAAAACTCCAACAGACCTGGGCTCTTGGTGGGTGGCCTTCTTATTTCACATTCAAGTGGATCAGAATCTTTAGTAGAGGCCACTATAAAAAAATGGGTCATCTTACACTGTAATATGCATTCTTCAGTATTTCCTGACATTTTACAGACTGTCCTCATGCTTTTATTTTCTCTCTCCTCTATCCACTCACCCCAACCGGTCGAGGCTGAAGGGTTAGGTATTAGGGTTGAGTGTTAACCCCATAACCCTAACCTGCACTTCAGACAAAACGGGGCTCTCATACAGTCAGCAGCCTTTCCAGCACTCAGTGGTGAATAATCTTTAAAATATTCCTGTATCCAAATTATGATACAGCTCAGCACCAAAGTCCAATCCAGTGTTCCGTGACCCATACCCTAGCTCTCCAACACATTTCATCAAAGTCCGTTTATTACTTTTTGAGTTTTAACAAACCAACAAATGCCGGCAAAAACATAAACCAGAAGGGAAATGAGAAAAAAGTCTGTGGTATAAAGCTGGATCTCTGCAGCTGGGGACAATAAACAAATTAATTAACCAACAGGTGCCACTGTCTGACATCACTAGACATCTTCACTGACATTATACAGGTGCTGGTCAGATAATTAGAATATCATCAAAAAGCTGATTTATTTCACTAATTCCATTCAAAAAGTGAAACTTGTATATTATATTCATTCATTACACACAGACTGTTATATATCAAATGTTTATTTCTTTTAATTGTGACAACCAATGAAAACCCCAAATTCGGTATCTCTGAAAATTAGAATATTGTGAAAAGGTTCAATATTGAAGACACCTGGTGCCACACTCCAATCAGCTATTTGACTCAAAACACCTGCAAAGGCCTTTAAATGTCTCAGTCTAGTTCTGTAGGCTACACAATCATGGGGAAGACTGCTGACCTGACAGTTGTCCAAAAGACAACCATTGACACCTTGCACAAGAGGCACAGAATCCATGTTGCTTGAGGTCCAGTGTAAAGTTTCCACAGTCAGTGATGGTTTGGGGTCCCATGTCATCTGCTGGTGTTGGTCCACTGCGTTTTCTGAGGTCCAAGGTCAATGCAGCCGTATACCAGGAAGTTTTAGAGCACTTCATGCTTCCTGCTGCTGACCAACTTTATGGAGATGCAGATTTAATTTTCCACCAGGACTTGGCACCTGCACACAGTGCCAAAGCTACCAGTACCTGGTTTAAGGACCATGGTATCCCTGTTCTTAATTGGCCAGCAAACTCGCCTGACCTTAACCCCATAGAAAATCTATGGGGTATTGTGAAGAGGAAGATGCGATATGCCAGACCCAACAATGCAGAAGAGCTGAAGGCCACTATCAGAGCAACCTGGGCTCTCGTAACACCTGAGCAGTGCCACAGACTGATCGACTCCATGCCACGCCGCATTGCTGCAGTAATTCAGGCAAAAGGAGCCCCAACTAAGTATTGAGTGCTGTACATGCTCATACTTTTCATGTTCATACTTTTCAGTTGGCCAAGATTTCTAAAAACCTTTCTTTGTATTGGTATTCAGTAATATTCTAATTTTCTGAGATACCGAATTTGGGATTTTCATTGGTTGTCAGTTATAATCATCACAATTAAAAGAAATAAACATTTGAAATATATCAGTCTGTGTGTAATGAATGAATATAATATACAAGTTTCACTTTTTGAATGGAATTAGTGAAATAAATCAACTTTTTGATCATTTCTAATTATATGACCAGCACCTGTATAAACCAAGCATTCCATATTGATCAGTGCTGATTATGAAACTTACATCCACAGCTGGCTCTGCTTCAGGTGTGGATGGGTCTTCACTGACTGTCGCAGATATATTTGTGGGGTCACTAGTTGGCTGATCATTAGCCACTGGAATTAATGTCATATGTGATGAGGACTGGATGAAATCAGGTGCTTCTTCAAAGTCTGTGGATCTCGGGATCTTTTTTAAAAGCAGCCCAGTCTGAATGTCACCCAGTCTCGCAGCAGTGCTGTTCTGATCTGGTTTCCCCTGTAGCACCTGAGGGGCAGGGCTGTTCTGACCTGTGACTGGTCTGTGGAGTGGCTGGCTGATGATGACCAGAGGGACCTGGGGGCTGCCAGCGCTTGGCTTGGTCGAGTTGAGGATGGCCACGGCCAGAGCGGCAGGGTCAGCAGCTGGTTGGTTGGTGTCGAGTGACAAAGAGGGTCCATCTGGAAGATTTGCTCATCAATACAAATATGTCAAAACATAAAGAAAAAAAGTGACACAGTAAATATCAAATAATATATCAATATCAAGTGATGCAAAAAATGTTACATGCTGTTAAGCACAAATAAAACCAGCTTTCCTGCCAGATCACTTTCCACAACTTTTTATGTTTTTAGGGAAAATTCATTCATTTTTGGTTTAAAGTTCAGACAACATGAAATGAGCCTACTACCAAAATAATGAAGATGAGCAACTGTAGCCATTGTCTGCTGGATGTTTATGCATTGCAGTTGCTTGATTAAATTGGTTGTATTGTATGACACAACCGTACTTCCACCCCTTGGCACGCTGGCGCTACATTTTACACGTAGCGGTCTCGCTTTTGGAGTTTCCAGACTAAAATACCTCCAAACAAACGATATTTTAGTCAAACCAACAGCTAATGTTATTTGCTCACTCAGACTGAGGTTGTTGTGGGTTTATTTTAAGATGTGGAATGGAATCTGGATCGGTGACATGTCTCATGTTATGTTATGACAGGCACAAGCTGCAGACTGGAATATGGATTGTTAAGTGGATCAGCCCGGTCCGTCTGATATCCAATGAGTGAATGACTTTAATATCGGACCCGATACCGATATAGGACTGAATCAAGCCCACTGCTATCATTTAACATAGTATATTTATTGTAGTTATGCCTTCAGATTTATTATCTTTTCTATTGGCAATCTTTTGCTATTTTTATATTACCGTTTATCATGATCTTGTATATATTTTTGAACCTTTGACAGCTCGGTCTGAACATCTTTTCTCCAATTTTTACCAATAGTAAAAGCTGTTTGGACATTTTAGCAAGTGGTATAGCAGCGGTTTTTGGAACTGTGAGGAGCCGCCAGAGGGGGAGGTGCGCAAACGCCCTGGTAAAGCTACAAGATGGATGAATCGCTTCTTGTCAGTTGGACTACTTCTGACTTTTCACATTCCGTGGCTTTATGCTTTGTTGAGACGTGGCTCAACAACTTGATCCCAGCTGCCAAGATTTTAGATCTACAGACCATGTGAAGGAATTATCTGGAAAGGCGAGAGGAGGTGGAATCTGTTTCTATGTTAATGAAGGTTGGTCTAGGGATGCCACAGTGTTAGAGAGAATTTAGAGGCACTAAATTCTGTTCTCCTAGAGAATTCTCCTGGTGGGATTATGTATTTTACCATAGACTTGTGTAAAAATGCATTGAGATGCATTTTCAGATAGGACACGGTGGGTGCTGCGCTCTGCTATCAAACCCATTCATTTCTATATGTGGCGCCAAGCTGAGCACTGTACTGAAGTTAAGGAAGTTCAACTTGGGTGAGGTGCTCTGTGACGACACCTTGACATGTTCAATTTCAGAAAACCTGACAGACCCAAAAACAAACATGGCACCCACCAAGGCGCACGTGTTTGCGTGTTCCACTCTCAAATGCTGGCTTTTTCTTAGTTTTCTTCTTTTTTGTGTTTTTTTTACTTTTTCTGCAGTGCACAAATGTCATGCACTGCTTACATACAACAGACAGGCATTGCTGGATATCGCCAACTCACAAAGCCGCTGGGAATTTACTGGTTTCATACCACCGGAGCTACAACTCATTGTCCGCAACAGCAACAACAACAGCAACGACGACAATCACCATCAACCCCAGGGAGCCCCCAGAGCACCAGGCACAAGCGAGCAGGCTGAAATCAGGAGAGCGACCCGGAGAGGGAGATGCAAGCGGGGCAAATGAGGGGGACTCCATGCTAGGCTAAAAGCTTGCGCTACCCGACCGCCATTACCCAGCCTCTTCCTAGCTAACGTACAATCTCTGGAAAACAAACTGGACGAGCTAAAGGCTAGGATTACAGCACGACAGGAAATCAGAGAATGCTGTGCTCTAGTTCTCACCGAGACTTGGCTTTCTGACAGAG